CACAATACTTGGAAGGCAGTCCTTGTGACATTATGTTAACGCATATTTACAGAAAGGCGCGAAAAAAATGAAAAATGATTTAATAGTGCATGCACCGAATAAAATATGATTTAATACTAGCAAAAGCACCGATATGCTTACATAGTTTTTATAGTTGTTGATCTTGAAAAAGCATAATAAGTAGCCCAGGCCTATAACTTGAGAATATATAGGATATATTTACATATGTACTTATAAATAGTTGTCATAGAATCTATCTCACCGACGCATCGACATACAGGGTGCTGTCTGGTTTACTTTGGCTTACAGAGGGGAAACCCGAACACACACACACACACACACACACACACACATAGAGAGAGAGAGAAAGAGAAAGATAGGCTTCTTTTTCTTTTTTTCTGCGTGTCTGACAATTCAGCAATTGTTCTGTATTCACCACATCCTTAACCGTCGTATTGAATCTAACCCACATGTCAGTCCACGGGCCCAGCACATGTTCTACTCGTGGTAAAAAGATACAATTGACATTTAATTAAGCTGCAGCACACGGTTTTTCCAGAGGTATCTTATATCCATGGATATGGTATCTCATACATGGCATTTACAACTCGTGTCGTTTTCAGTGGTGTGAACAACGTTGATTCTGTTTCACACTGTGACACTGCTATATATGTGTAGGGCAGGTTCGCATCGCGATCATCAAGGCCGAATCTGTTTGCCCAATCGGTCCAAATGGCGTTTCACAACTTGGGGTAATTTGATTACATTTACGAATGCTTCACCTGATCGCTCCAAAGTCGAGCTATCCTCGGTTAGCGTGAAAACGACCTAGGAATAATAATAATAACAACAATCTATAAAACTTCCTGAAACCGCTGCCGCCTATTCTTACCATTAAAAGTTGCCCTTCAACATCAGTGGAGATTCCAGGCGTTTATGTCTGATTTATTGCCCATTATGTCTTTTGATGCGGTTTTGACTTACTTGGCATCAAATTGTGGAGTCGTGGTGTCAACTGTGAAAACAATTGCTAACAATGCAAAATCGAGTGCTTAGTGTGTGTGTGTGTGTGTGTGTGTGTGTGTGTGAGAGAGAGAGAGAGAGAGAGAGAGAGAGAGAGAGAGAGAGATAATTTTGGGATTAAAGAATATTGGAGGGAGAGAGAGAGAGAGAGAGAGAGAACAAACAGCAACGACTTGTGTACTTTCCACTCACCGTACCATATACAATGAAGAGCATATAACAGTAAATATCAGGTGCCAGCCTATCATCATAAAACAATAAACCTTTCTTGGTGAATGATGGAATGGAGTGTCATATAAACTGCATGTCACGTTACTCTTCAACTTGTGCAAATGTGACTCTTATATATTCTCTGACCCTGTTTGATTGTTATTTCATTATTATACGGACACCTTGTGAACGAGATCCGCATTTTGTTACCGCAAAGCTTTTTGAAACCTCGCCGCTTTATATAACATAAGTAGGCCTAAAACGTGAATACGCGTCCTGCAACGGCGACACATTTTATCACCACTGATTCGATACTTGTACCAGGTCGAAGAGTTACTAATATCTGGTATTAATCGCTATTAATATATTTTGTATATTTGAGTTGGACTGACAACGTAAGGGCACAGGTCATATCGTTATGGCGGTAGCAGTCCCCGCAACAGGTAGGAGTTAATTTCATGGATATTTAGAGCCATCAGCTACTGTATTCTTGAAGTTCAAAATTTTGTTGTTCATTCAATTCTGGTACGCCAACTTTTTTACTCCAGATGCTTCCGGGACTACGGTTTTTTTTTAACTTTTTACTGCCAGAAATTACGTGCTTTCCATGCAAATATATAAAACACAGTGATTGAATAATTCGAATTAAAAATACACAAATGGATTATTATCTTTTAGAAGTTGCCTAAGAGGGTGCCCTTAAGCCATTTCTCTTTGGTGACAAGAAACCGAACGAAACCTAAGAGATATTCTCGTTTCGGTTAGTACCGTTTACGCACAGACGGGTAGTCCTATTACAGTAGTAAGTCAGGTTTTTGAATATTCTTATAGTTTGATTCACGCTAAATGCACATTTAAGTATGTTTGGTTTCTTATCTAAAGCCTTATGTCGACTGTATCGTATATTTATTTTTTGCATCCGGGAACACGAAGTTCGGAGAAATTTGTTTTTCATTGCCTCTTGTGCAATAATGATAGAAAAAGTAAATCGTTTTTAAAGAGCTTGCATCGACGAGTCAGTGATGTAATCAAAACCTATGACAAAAATTCGAAACGTTGTGACCTTTTAGTTGGAAAACACATTCGTTTTTAATAACACAGAGATATTATCTGAAATACAATTAATGGCTTATATTGTAATTCGATGAGTTGTTAGCGGGACTGCTTTTACTTCTGCCATCCAAATTACGAGATCGATTATTTCTGAAAGCAAAGTGTATTAATACAATAATTAGACACGATTGAGGTTGGGCACACAGAAATTTGTTCCACAACCTGGTCATGTTTAAAGAATACTTTTATCGTACCAATCCTTAAAGTGCAGTATGCGTTGGCCGTGTAGGACTCAGTTACAATAAGAATAGGCGGGAGCGTGTGGGCAATGTTTACACAATGACCGGTGGTTGTTTTGAAATATATAGGCACTGACGGTATGGTCATGGTATACACACCTCGGACACGAAAAAAACGGTGAAGTTGATCGCCACCGAATGTCGTCTTGGGTTTAGATATTCATATCCCGCTTGGTCCTAATAAACCTAGCCATTTTCAAAATAAAATTTAGAGCAATTCCGTTAAAAAAGTCCAAAAGATTATATTCAGTGTCACTTGCGAGTAATTTGTCTTTTGTTGCATTCTACCTGAGGCTATATGTTTTTTTATCTCACTGACTCAGTACACACAGTCGTTAAACTGAAAGTGCGTGCACAATCAGCGTTCATTCGCTGTCTTTATTTAAACACCGAACCGGTCTAACTTGCGTCATCACACGATTAGTCGACTTAATTTTCTAACTGTGTTAAATAAGCAGCTTGATCGTAAAACTATAGGTTATTGATCCACATGTACATTGAGCTTAAGATTCTCTTAGACAATCTTGTTCTTATACCGAATTTTAAAATGTATATATAGGACGGGTCGTATTGGTGTCCCAATGTGAGCACAACTTAGCGCCCTCAGGCTCCTCATCTGTCCCCATTTTGCTAATGACTCACAGTTTTAACATATCTCTAGCTTGCAGACACTTTATACATTGCTCTTCGTCATGCCTGATTACGATGGGACTGAACTGGTGACACGAGACCCCCGTGCGTGTGTGTGACATTTCGAGACATTGTGTGTGAAAGAACGCGTCGTTTTTAACACGGTCGCTGTGGTGGCTGGCATGGCTTGCTTTTTTTTAAATATCAGGCCATTTTTAGAAGTGCGGGGTCGTAGATAGACGGACCGCCTTGCCCGAAATCGTGTCCCCGTGTTGTAGGATTAATTAAGACTACTTTTGAGCGCTCGACGCCAAGAAATGCACGGTAGGTGAGAGACGGTCATTGAGTGTAAAGCGTTCACGTTTACGTTCCTGTCCTAGGCGTGTATTGACGGTGGTCCTGTAACACGACAGTTGTCAAGTGGGTTCAGCGTGTTGGAGGTTAGAAAACCTCTTCACCGTGCTTTAACTTCTTAGTTAGCAAGCGCTTTTGGACATAGGTAAGAGTATGGCACAAGGACTTTTGCCCATTGTTTATTCGTTCCCGCTGTGTCCGGATTGATCTCACGTGTGCAGGCAATAACCCGGCTTCATTGGTGGCTAAGTGTGTTTTAATTGTTTTTCACTGCGAGCTGTCTTTCCGCGGGAAATCCTGAGAATGTATCGAAGCCATGCGTTCTTGACCTTAAACGAAAGACACTGGCAGGAATGTGACCACGAGACGCTCTCTATAGTTTAGATACATTAATTGTGATTTTCAAATGAACGTGAGTTAAAGCTGTGTTATTCCTTAGTCTACCAAGTTTGTTCAGTTTCGCGTTGGACTGGGAATTAATATTAAGATTCGTGCGCGGACTTGTGCTCACACTATTACGTGCTCAGGGGCACGCGCGTGAACACACACACACACACACACACACACACACACACACACACACTCGGATACACACACAACACAAAAGAGAGAGAAAGAGATCTAATAACGTGCTTATCTATGGGGTATAACGATAGATACAATTTCCAGCGTCGCGGAAGCTTGCGGTTTATCAGAATAATGACAAACGAATATTTTAACCGCAATGACATTGTCAATGTAAAAAACAGCGGACAATATTTTTCTGAACTATAATACAATGTTTTATGTTGTCATGTGGCCCATCATCACCATTGTACTCTGTTCCCGAAACAAAGCAAGGGTGATAACTAAAGGCACTTGATTGCATACTGAAACATGTTGAAGCATGTTCTTAAATTTAACTCAAAACTTTTATTTAATTTTTCAACAATGGGAGAGAAGCTGGGATCTTTCTTCGTATAAAAGCCCGTACTGGGTCTAAATTCTTTTAGAATAATCCACATGTAGGGTTTGACAGTATTGCATCTTGTTTACTTTTCGCATTTTTGTTTCAATATGCAATCAAGTGCCTTAAATGTTTTTTTTTTTTCAAATGCCAGTACGGGTTTTTATACAAAGAACCAAAAACGATTTTGTCCCCCCCCCCCATCCCGCCCACTGGCATCTGAAAAAAATCTAAGCAAGGTAATAGTTTGCTCATTTTTTTACTCAAACTGATGAAAGTGGCAAATTGCATTCTTTATTTTTTCACAAACGATTTTTCCTTAATTAAGTTACTGTGCAATAATGTCAATAGGACACGTTTTGTTTTGGTTTGTTTTACACGTGAATCATCATCCCGAGTGTGTCATAACCTATTCAAATTGAAATTGATCTGTTATCCGTGGTGATCGTTGACATTTCGTGTAACTTTTTTTATTATTGTTTCAGGAGAAGAATTACAGACCCTTCTACATAAAGGATGTCATTTTCTAAAGATGCGCTCTCGTGGACGCACGTACAAAAGATTCTACGTCGTGGACGAACAAAACAGACTTGTGTACGATGGCTCGAAGAAGCCAGGAAGGAAAAAGAACGAGGAAATCGTCGGTATGTTTGTTTAATTTTTTTTTGTCAGTGTGAATTAGATATTTAGTGGTGTTTGTTATTTATAATATACATGTAACATCGTGGTATTGTTTAATTGGTTAAATTTGAAAACGAGCATCAGGTTTGTTGACCGTTAGTAAAGTCCATCATTTTATTTATCGGTGTCTAACTACAGTATATATACCCGGTACCCCTCTCTCTCTCTCTCTCTCTCTCTCTCTCTCTCTCTTAGTATTTCTTAAGTATTTACATATTCAATCTCTTCTCTGATGTCTTACTGCATGTGAAGTTATGCAGTTAAAAATAAGCGGCGAACGTATTCCTTTGATACAATTTAGGTATACATATGTAATACATACCACGAAATATCTTAAATCACCTACGTGTACAGTCTCGTATTTCTTCTACACGCCACTAACACCACGAGAGTATTTGTGAGTGCATATGTTTATGTTTGTGTGTTTATGTGTGTGCGTGAGTGTGTGTGTGTGTGTTGATTTACAATACGGCCTCAGCGTGTGCGTTTGAGTGACGTAGATATGTAAAATATCTCTTGCAAAATATGCATTATTCTGTGTGCCCATGTATGTATCTACATCTATTTTTAGTTGATATATCTGACATAACAGATATAAGGGAAGGGTGGGAGACAGAAACCTTCAAGCAAAAGAAGAAAAAGAATGTGCAGGTAAATAGCCCATTTTATTTCTTCATCTTTGCAGTGTTTTAAAAAGTAATTGGAACATCGGCATGTTTCCATGTTTCTTATCGGTATATACTGGGATGTACATGTATGTGCCATGTGGCGTTTTTTAATCTCTCAATGTGCTGTGCGGCTTATTGAACACCGGAAAAGTATTTTGTTCTTAGTATCGTAACTAGGTGTTCAGGCAAAAGGGAAACTGTGTGCCTGATGAGTTAAATTGAATATGTAGTAAAATATCCTTTTCCTTTAAGCAAACCTGCTGCTTTTCTCTGGTCTTTGGGCCAAAAGACAAAACGTTAGACCTTGTTGCTGACACGGAAGAACTAAGAGACAAGTGGGTGAAGGGGCTGCGATTCATGCGCAAGAAAAAGAAAGGAGGTGAAATTACTAGTCACTTTGAAGAGTATCCTTTTACCTGTAATCAAAAATACACACACACAAACAAACACAGACACACACACACAAAAAAAAGCACCTTCCTCTATTGGCTTTTTCATATTCTTGATTCCAATAAAACTGTCTTGATGCAATTTTAGAGTCTTTTAGCATTCGAAAGAACTGAACGGTAGGCCCTATAGCTTATACTGGTAACAGATTGTACATGCATGTATTATGAAGAAGTACAGGTAGGAAGACTTCAACGCTGACCCATTAACACGTTCCGTTGTTCAAGTTACTTTAGGATAGTAAAAGGGTCACTTAAATCTAGCACATTGTTAATTCAGATTGATCTCAATACTTTGAAACTTAAAAGCATATCCGTAACGGAAGGAAAACGCAAGAGAAAAAAACTAAGAATTAACATACCACAGTTATTTTGATGTTGCGCACTTGATGTCTGCATACACCATTGCTGGCTTCAGCAGCTCGTGGTTTTTTACAAGTAGTTAAAGGTTCAGTATGCCGGGCCATCAATATTACAGCCCATCTCTCTCCACCGTCGCACACACACACGCACACACACACACACACACGCACCCACGCACACACACACACACACACACAGAAGAGAGAGAGAGGCATCCAAGCACACGCGCGCACACACACACACACACGCACGCACACACACACACACGATGTTCAACATCGTATACGTCAGAAAGGACCCTATCTTAGTAAACTATATGGTTACACTTTCAGTGTCTGTTTTCACCTGACTTTTCACGAAACGAATCCGCTCCTCGCGAGGGAAAACTTTTTTTCTTTTCTATAAGTTTCAACTTAATTTCTGCAGCTCATGCAGTGGATTATGTCAACGATAATGTAGACACAATGCATTGAAATACAACCCTTTTTATTGCAGTGCTCCTGATTTTCAAGAGGTGAGGATTAACGTGAAATTTCAGTGAATTCCAGTCTAGATATATCTCAACCGAAAATAGGCGTGAATGTAACGTTATTTAGACTTTGTTGTGACGGTTATATGTTTTTTACACTTGTTGTGATGGTAACGTTATATACACTGACTTGTGCTGAAAACTTTGTTTAATCTCTGTTGTGATTCAAATCATTTTTAATTTGTTGTGATGGTGCTGTTATAAAAACTATCGCGATAGTATCGTGAATTCTACTCTTGTAGAGGTATTGCTTTAGCTATTTACAATCCATTGTCATATTAACGTCTATTGTGATGCGAATATTATTTACACATAGTTGCGGTGGGAACGTTTCTCACACTCTGTTGTCCTAGTAACGTTATTTGCACTCTGTTTGATGTCATTTGATCACACTGTTTGTCCCCTTGACAAACTCCCAGTTGGATAGAATGTAAATTTCGCTCTGCGGACACGGACAACAAGGGATACCTGACCTTTGACGAAGTCTTGGATAAACTGGCACGTATGCACATTCCAATTGACCGAGAACGTGCTAAGAAGTTCATTAAGGTAAAGAGCACAAGCATACGCACGTGCACACACACACGCAATTGCACACGCGCACGTGCTCGTGCACACATACATAGACGTTTAAATGCATGCGCATTATTCAGTTACTGCTAACGGCGTATGACGTTTGCTGGAACGGACCAGTTGACCCTCAGTTTGTGTTTGCTGATACTAAATTCGAACAGAAGAAAAGTCGTAATTGCCATATCTGAAAAGACTTCTACAACCATGTCTATCGACTAACCTATTATGCGGCCTCACGCCGATTTAGAATTGAGCCCCGTTGGTAATTATGTATTGTTCTTAAAAGCATTGTGTATATCTGAGTCATGGGTCAGGTCATACATAAACAAATATACATGTATACACACATATTTTAAATGGACTATAGGACAAATTTAGTTAAATGCTGTAAATGCAAGAAAAGCCTCAGTTTACGTCAAGAGCAACGTAAACTACGGCGAAAGATTTGTGGAAACGGCTTGTAATTTTGAACAGATTGCTTACTCATGACGACATTTAGGTGTTGGATTACTAAATTTAAGTTATATATATTATTTTTAATTGCTCTAGAAAGTATACACTAGTAGCACAGCGGCTAAAATATTGCCGCACGTGCCTTTGTGATTTAAACTAATGGAGCCTTTTATAACACAGAAACACTGTAAATGTATATATTTTGGGTTCGGTCAAAATGTTCAGAGCTCACGTCCCATGCTTTTAACAAAATTGGCTGTGGAAACTGGCATCGTTAAGTAAAAAATGCGTACTTTACGTTTAAATGGCCGACGGCAAGACCAATATAACAATTTTCTTTTCATTTTATGAGATAAAAAAGTAATTATCGACACTAGCAAAAAAGCTAAGATAAGCAGCCTGTTGTTAAAAGAAAGAATGTTCAAATGATGAATATTAGCCATGTCTTTAAGTGTTGCTGGTTGAAAGGCATGGGCACTGAAGTCGTGTTCACAATGTAGATACAAGTAGATTTTGGACACAATTAAAATGAATCGTTTAGTTCGTCTAAGATCTCACTTGGGCGAATAAAACGAATGTAGAGCGATTTATCTCTACGTGACCCTGCTCTACGTTTTTTCAGATAGAGTAAACAGACAATAGGAAGCAGGTGTGATCTCTTAGTTACATCAGCATGAATATAATTACGTATCAGCCATTCGTTTGAACTCAGAGCACCTGGGTTATGTTGAAAGTTCAAAGGAAAGTTTTTACGACAGCTGTCTATGTATGTGTGTAAAAATAAAACTGGCCCATTGCATTAACAACAACAGCGAACAAATGAATCATGACGAAGCTTAATCAGCAATTTTCTTCCTGGACATGTCACACCCATGATATGACTGGTAAAAAGGCACATGCAAAAAACACGTTTATTGTTTTCTGAATACAATGTATGTCAATGGGTTACGTTTTTCATTGTGTAGCCCATGAGGATAAACTTGATTTCGTACACGGAAATGATTTCGCCTACAATTTTAATTTAAAAATCTATATTCACTCAGAGCTTTTATTTTATTTTATTTTATTTATTTATTTATTTTTTGTTTTTATTCAACGTGATCCCCATGGTTAATATTATGACCATTTGTAACATGTACCACTTTTTATCACTCTCTTTCAGCGCATTCGAGGAGACAAGGATAATAAAAGTGAAAAAGACAGCAAAACGTCCAAAGACCCTGAGGCAATCAGTATTACACACTTTATCCCATTGTACTTCTTGGCCATAAAAAGGGTCGATCTGGACTGCATATTTGAGAAGTAAGCAGCCAATTTGCAAGCATCTATTGTTTCAAAAAGACATTACTGATATTGATTTGTTCTGAATTGTTTAAAATTATTTTGTTTTTAAATAATGAAGTTGTATATAAGGAAAACATGTTCTCTATTTAGACTTTGGCTCGAGTGTTTCCTTGAAAACAAAACTGTAATAGCCAGACCTTTTCCTTAAAAATGCATTTCATGGTTAAAATAGGCTAACTTCGTTCACAAGATTATACAGAGCCGTCTCTAGATAAGGCAAGGTCATTTTCAGGCTGAACATTAAGTAAAACTATAACAGTAAACTGCCAATATAGTCTTTATTTGGTTTTCACACGTGTTCCACATTTGTATGAATTTGTTTTACGTCAGTTGTGGTGTTGTGACGTCTAAGATTACTTTCATGTGACGTATGCATTACACGTGTATGACGTCAGTCTTATTGTTGTTCCAGGTACGCAGAAGGCACAGACGTCATGGACCTTTACGACCTCGCCGATTTCTGGCGCAGACAACAACATGTAAGCCTATAGCAATTTCTAAGAAATTTCATAAATTTATATGTAGCACGTGGCCAGTGGTTATGTTTTGGAGTGCCATTTGTATTATTCATCAAAATTTCCATTGAAGACCCAGTTTGCCCCAAGTTAGACAGGAGTTGTCTAGATAATGTTGACGTAGGTCTACCTAAGCAGTTCGAGCAGAAGCATATTAAAAAAAAAGGAAAAAACAGCGTTACGACACTTATAGGCCTACAAACACTGAGGAATGAAAATCTAAACCAAGGTAAAGTCAAATAAATCAACAGAAATTTAAAATTGAAAGGCTCCGTGATTGACCATGTGTTCATTGCATTATACGCTATTCATATCCACAGAGGATAAAAGCGCTCTGTTTTGTTCCAATTTAATGTTATATGCAGATGATTCTCAGAAATCTGCTTTGTAAGAAATTTACCGTATGTTGAAAAAGCCTCGTGTGCATTAACACCGTTCCTGCCTCAACTCTAATTAGGCTAGACTTATGATGATAAAACTAAATAGGTCCATTTCCCCTCTAGGTTTTTTCAAAGACGGTAGCACAATGGACAGTATCATATTGGAGATTCTGTTATCAAACTAAGCACGGAATTTATATTACAGGCTTACATTTTGGGCGTACCGGTAATTTGAAGAAAAGAAGTGAGATGACATCAAACATAAACTAAAGTGTGCAAATCAGCATACTCAGACATATTTAAATCCCTTCATTAATTTGAAAGTTGCCAAGTAGAGCAACTCTCTTATGCGTTTGAAACTTCTAGTTTCGATTACTGTAATAAACTCTTGTTTGGAATATCCAACTATCAAAAGGGGGAAAAACTTCAGTCTATTCAAAATTCGCAGCTGCGCGACTCCTGCGTAGAATTCATATGTCGGATAAAATGACAACAGTGCTGCGTGACCATCATTTGAAACCAGTATCTCAAAGGATCTCAGAGTCTATTAATGTTACACATGGCCTTTAAATATCCTTTCCATACAATCCAAACAACCTGATAGAACTAGCTAATTTGAACAGAACACTAATATCAAGTAGGCGCATTCTAATAAAGTGGCAATTAAGAAACAAAGAAGTCTCTAAAAACAGGGGCTTAGAGTTTGTAAAACCTATTTTGCACTTGGGTTTTTAACCAATCAAATGTCATATTATTATTATTATTATTATTATTATTATTATTATTATTATTACATAAAGCTAACATGTAAAAAAGTACCCAAAAAGTGAGTCACTATAGCGTGACTCAAATGCTGTGGAATGACCGATATCAAACTCGGGCAATTGAATTTGTGTCTGTCTATATAAGTACTTGTCGTGTTTTGTTGATAAAATTAATCTCACTGAATCAATTTCCGTTTCATTTCCGTGGATAGAGTTACAAAAAACTGAGACATTTTACGCGACGCCAAATTCATTGATAACATTATTAATTTTCTCACAATACTTGCGTTAGAAATAGACAGCCAACGTTTAAACCCGCAGGCAATGGTATTGCTTTTATGTGATAATGTGAATTAAGTCGCCTGGAAGCAATCAAATCTTTATCTCAGTCAAATCGCTTTCCGCTTTCCCCTTGTTTTGCTGGTCCGTTAGGCATGTGTTAAATATAATGGCTTGTGAGTATTCTAGATTTAACCTCGCCCAGTTTTAAAACCCCGGGCTTGGTGTATTCTGACGGCTCGTAAATCTTAGTCTCAACAGGGTAGATTTAATAGAATTTAAGTGAGAATTCATTAATTAGTCCTTAGAAGACAAATATCAGCACGCGAACTTATAATTAAGTAAGCTTGGTCTGTGATTGTGTTACACTAAGTGCCTGCTTTTTCGTCTAGTGGCACGAGAAGTATTCTTGTAACAACATGATAGTTAATAAATGCGTATTTTTTTTCACCTAGAACGCAGACGCTACTCGTGAAGATATTCAACGACTTCTTCAAGCCCACGAACCAATTAAATCTGCCTTTCAGCTTGGTCTTATGACGAAACAAGGTAGGCCTTCAATTGCTTATTAGATCTTATATTCAGGAGGGTACTTTAAATGTTTATTAACTTCAAAGCATTCCCTTGGTTTAGAAAGTGTGTATAATATGTGTCATAGGCAATTTTACCGTTTCCATGTAAAGGCCACAATTTTCTTGATTTTTAGTAAAAAATAGTATCGCCTGTAACATGTTACGTTCGCCAGTAACCCCTCTTAAACATTAAAGTTCCAATATTGTGTTGTGTTGGAAAGAATGTTTTTACTTAAAAGTTTTATCTTTTTGTGTGATTTCCGTGGCAGGATTTTTATCTCTCCTCCTGGATCAACACATATTTAACCCTGATCACAGGCGTGTATACCAAGACATGGAACAGCCCCTCGCACATTACTACATTGCTACGTCACACAACACGTGAGTAAAAGGACCAATATTATTTTGCCACGTAATATAACACCTGAGTAAAAATACCAATAATGCACAAAAGAAAAATATGGTGAACAAGATGAAAATGCGTTGCCATAAGGTATTTCGGTCCTACAGATTAACAGATACCCCTTATGTTCTATTAATGCGAAAGGTATAATTGTTTTCTCTCTAGTTACCTGACAGAGGACCAGATTCGCGGTCCCAGTAGTGTGGACGCTTACGCCAGGGTGCTACTTAAAGGATGTCGATGTGTAGAGTGTAAGTATGGCGTAGATCTATAGATGTAATCCAACGGTGGTTTCATATAAGGGCTCATTCCCAATGAAACTATCGTTCTACGTAGATCGATCCAGCTCCGTGGGTACTCTCGCTGAGTGCAACCGGATTAACAGATTTACACGCCTCTTCTTGTTTCTAACGCACACGTATAAGCACGTCATTAGCTTTCTGTATTCTGCTTAAGATGTCACTTATGATGTCACAACTTGAACCTTTCGTCAACCTACAAGTCACAGTAGAGTTCATCTTGATTCCATGCAACGTCCATCTATTGTGCATTCGATGTAAATAGATAATAAAATTATGAACCTTTCAATGAATTGCGGGCACGATTCGCAAGGAGGTGGAACTCCCCCTGTCTTTTGAGTTCAACTCCCTTTTTATTTCTTTAATTTTTGTTTTATTTGATTATATTTTTATTTTTCTTCGTTTTAGTGGACTGCTGGGACGGTCCAAATAACGAACCCATCATTTACCATGGACGCACGTTGACATCGAAAATCTTATTCAGAGATGTCGTGAAAACAATCAATGATAATGCATTCCAAAAATCAAGGTAAGTTTAGTACTATCAACGGATTGATTTTATTACTTACATTCCTTTATGAAAAGTGATAAGTGCTCTGTTGCTGAAAACACAGTAGGCGTTGAATTAAAGTAAGGTGAAATTTTGCATAAATGTTTTTTTTCTGACTGCCTACACTTTTGTGGCGCATGTTGATCATCGTGAAATTAATAAATAAAAGTAGATGTACGTTCGCCACAACTTTAATTTATTTATTTAATTTCATTATAAATATATATATATATATATATATATATATATATATATATATATATATATATATATATATATATATATATATATATATATTTATTTATTTATTTTTTGCAGTTACCCTGTGATTCTGTCTATCGAGAACCATTGTTCTCTGGTTCAACAGAAGATCATGGCTAAATACTTCAAAGACATATTTGGTGCCAAAATATGCACCGACGCCGTCTCTCTGGCACTGGAGAAGCTTCCGTCACCCGAGAGTCTGAAAGGAAAAATACTAATCAAGGTAAGGCGTGGGATCGTCATAATCATCTTCGACCCCTCGTTCATTTTTATTATCAGTTCAATGTGTGAAATATTTTCAGTCGATCTTTATTTTTTAAGAAAGGGGGATCGGTTGCCTGCAAAGTAAGTTTGGCTGTTTTGAAGATCAAAATGTTGCAATCATTGAAAACGAAGAAAGGATTTGGGTCAAGTATTTATTTAAATAATTATTATTTAATTCATTTATTTATTTATTGTCAGAACAAGAAACTTCCCAATGACGTGGAGGGTGACGCTGACGTCGTAGTGGACGAAGAGGAACTGGACGAGGACCTCAGCGTCGAAGACTTGGAGAACGGCAACTCCAAGACTCTAGAGAACGGAGACTCGGACGCACCACCCCCGTCCCCAACGCCCACGACCCCTCCTCATCTCACCCGCGATCTCTCCCTCGACAGCAGTATTGAGCGCTTGGAGGCAATGGACAGTATTAATTTAAACACAACCGGAAGCACAAAAAGCATCGAGTACATTCAGCAGCAGGAGGCCACGAGCCAGAAGAGAAAAGAGAGTAGCGGAAAGGTGTCGTCCCTGAGGAACACGCTGCTGAGAAGAACGGGGACGAGCGGGACCAAGGGCTCCAAAGATTCCAGTTCTAAAAGACAGAAGGTCAAGATAAAACTGGCCAAGGAACTGTCGGACCTCGTGTCTTACTGCCAGGCTGGTGGGTTCCGGAGCTTTCAACATTCCATGATGCATCGTGAGTACACAATGGTCATATAATGGTAGCAATTATAACAACAATAAAAATGACAGTAACACTACAGCAATTATGATGATGATAGCAACATTGTTCTTATTAATAACTATAATGGTGAAATTGAAGAATCTAAATCCACATTTCAAATTACACGCAGTTACTGCACTTTTTTATGGTTACACCATTGTCCTAATGATAAAAGCTTGGATTCATGGGTTGAGTGTGACTGTGAAAACATATCTTAAACATATATCCAAGGCAAAGTCATATTCAATCACCTTTTCAAAAATATATCTTAGCATATAGCCATAGCTGCTTTCATATATGCAAATCAGAAGGCATATCGTTATATGTTTTATGTTTGAAAAAGGAATTCCCGTTTGAAATTTCAAGTTATCTACTTCTTTCAGAAAAATGTTTCGAAATGTCCTCATTCGTCGAAAACAAGACGCTGGCTCTGATCCGTGACGAACCTATAGATTTTGTGGACCACACGAAGCGACAGCTTATTCGTACATACCCCAACGGACGCCGAGTGGACTCCAGTAATTACTGTCCTCTTCCTATGTGGAATGTGGGATGCCAGCTTGGTATGTACTTAATTTGCAAGTATATAGTAGGCCTACCACGGGATGCACAGTGGCCCATATGCCTCCCCAAAATCAGTACAACAACTTTATCCAAAAAAAAAAAAAAGACCCCCATCTTGTGTATGTACGTATGCCTGGGCAGACCTGTAGGCAGCATCTTCGGTTATCGAATAAGTCAATTGTGCTAGAGGTGATTAGAGTAAGACACAATTGATCTCAACCAACACATTCTTCGCCATGTGTTTGATAATACTGTGATAGATAACAATTGTTGGAAAATTTGTTTGTTTTTTTTTTTCTTTTCGTGCTTTTATCTCAAGTTTTGACTTTTTTAAAAGTTCACCGTCTTAAATTTTCTATCAAGCAATCTTCAATATGTATTGTTCACAAGACTTTTTCTTCACTTCTTTAGTGGCACTCAACTACCAGACAGGTAGCAAACCTATGGACCTGAATGAGGCCATGTTCACGGACAATGGAAAGTGTGGATATGTGCTGAAACCCGATTTTCTTCGAAAACGTGAGTTTAAGACGCCAGTTTGATATTTATCCAGAGGCGCCAAATCTATCAATCAACGTGTATTCTACGTATTTCCTAGGACAGAACTCATTTGTAATCATACTGTTAATACGTACACAATTTAAGCCACTGCCATATTGGAAAATCTGCATGTCTATATTGCAATGCCAGTTTTGCTCAATACATTTTATTGAAAATGCACCATGAACATGTACGAGCAAAATATTTTTTAAAAAAGGAAAACGCATTAAGTAAATTTCGTATCCTTTATTCTTTCTAGCTGAAAGCACGTTCAGTTGCTTTGGTCCCTTCAGCAATGCGTGGCAAAAATCGCTCAAAATTAAGGTAAGTTGCAATTATGGAATTATGTAAATCATGTTAAGTTTATTTTAAATGTGTTATTGCAAGATTTTTATTTCCATAGATCTATATGATCCCTTCATATAGGTTTTGTATCGTACTTTATTCGATGGGGGTTAAGGGGGTTAATTTTTTTTTTTTTTTTTTTTTTTTTGGAATAAAACATTGTTCCCATGCAAATTAATATTTGTGTTTAAGTTTGACAAATTTTAAGGAGCAGAGCGTCACTTTTTGTTACATGCTGTAGGACTAATTAGCTTCTGCTAACTCTAGTTGTCATGAAAATTGTAGTTGATATACCACAAATTTTAATTTCTATTTGCGATGACATACTCTTTACTTTAGATAATCAGCTGCAGCCAACTTCCTGTCACCAAAACGCAGAACCCTTACATCAAAGTTATTATAGATGGCGTGGACAGCGACCACCAGAAATACAAGACCAAGACAATCAAAGACGATGGTACGGTTTTTTTTTTCTTTTTTCGTGAGCGTTTTGGCACGTCCTGGCCAGCTCAACTGTGTTAATTTCATTCTTATTGTTTTTCGTCTATTTATTTATTCTATTCTATTTTTTTAGTTTGTAAAAACTAATGCGATTTAGTACAGGTCTATTTATAGGGGTTTACAATGTCCAGTTAAATAGTGTCCAAAGTGACTCCTCGTAAACAATCAAATTATAGCGTGCAATGCAGGCAGAAAGATTACCTACTACTTCAATACTCAATATATAATAATAATTATATACAGTATGATATATAATTCAATTATGCAGACTCTAAACGTCTGCTCAGACTGAGAGTATTCAAGACCAGAAATTGGATAAACTCACCTCACCAAACGACAGGATTGGTTACCAATATATATATATTTTTCAGAGAATGGTCTATTGGGTTTATTGTTGATACATGAGTGAGTCCGATTTTTGGTCTGAACGAAACTTAGGCCTAAATTTGCAAGAGGCATAAAAATCTGCGCGTTTTTCTTGTTTTTTTTTTTTTTTTTTTTTTTTTCTTGCTTTATTTATTCATTATAAATTTATATATTTGTGTTGTTGTTGTTAATTCCTGTTATGATAATTATCGCCATTATTTTGTATAGGCTTCAATCCTCACTGGAACGAGGAAGCCACCTTCCAAGTCAAGGTTCCTGAACTGGCTTTTGTCCGCTTTGCCGTACACGACTATGAGTCCAAATCCAAAGACAACTTTCTGGGACAGTACACGCTGCCCTTTAACAGCTTACTGCCAGGTAGATAAGTAGGTCCCTAGTGGGAACGTTTGCAATTACAATGTATTTTGATGCAGTATAATGTACATGAATAATGGGACTTATAGCTTGTATAAAAAACACCGCCAAATAAGAGCATGGCAATACATGTTTATGTGGCAATATAAGTTCATTATCAGTTTTCTTGCACTTGGAACGACTTACTTTTTCTATGTTTTTTTTCTTGTTTTTAGTCACTACAGAATTAAAATACAATACATGTATGCTGGATAATGTATAGGATAAACTGTAATTTTTCAGGTTATCGACACGTGCCGCTGTTGTCCAAGCGTGGGGCGTCACTGTCTCCTGCCTGCGTTTTCATCCATGTGTCCAAGGAATGAGACTGTCTTGACATTCCTGGTGGCGACATTTGGCAATAAGTAATTTGAAAGAGAAATGCGCCTCTTTGCGTTTCTCTCTTGCGGTGACATTTTTTTTCAAGAAAAGCATCTGCTAGGTTGGATTACATGTTAAGGTTTAGAATATGGGCTTTCCAAAAACCCAGCTTAAACTTTGTTGATGTTCTTATATAAGTAACACATAACTCAAAATGTTCTCAAACATATTCTCAAAAAGAAGCCAGTGTGTTCAAAATGTCCCCATCCCAGGACATATAATTGGATAAAACAATTGTCATGATACAGTAGGTACTTGTAAGCAAGTGTAGCGTATGCTTCGCAACACGTTTCCAATATTTCCCAAAATATCCGCTTAAATTCATCAGTGAATTATTGCTGCACTAGACGGACAATAAGCTTACTGCCACTATATCTTTCTTAATACGCTGTAGAATTTTTCGCATAAACGTCATGTCGTTGATTTCTCTTATGTAGATGTACGTGGACATAAAACTATCATATTGGAATCATTCCTTGTTTTTAATTTTCAGGTGAACAGAAAATATTGTGTTTTGCCGAAATTTATTTTGGTTTTCTTAATGCTATTTCTTCGTATTACTTTTGATGTCAGTATTTCACGTGTCTACTTGTGTAGGTTTAGACAAGATATTCGGAGCGTACAAGCAGGTCTTGAGATGACTATTATTACTTCGAATGCTGAAAGAACTCTAATTGTATCTTCCTTGAATAAATAGCCTGATTATATCCTTTATTTCTATAATATTTGTTTGAGTTATTTTTTCATGTTCCTTCTGTTTCGTACTAACGATTTATTCAACAATGATTTGATTTACATATCGTACGAAGATAGCTCTACGTGGCATGTGATTATAAGACCCCTATTCAGTTCTAGTCAATGAGACGATACGGAGTGCTTTGACGTTGACGTTGGAAAAAGTTTTTTTTTCACTAGACAAATGTTTAAAGCATAAGACAGGGTAAAATATTGATGCAAACAAGCGAAATACGTACCCCTGCCGTACACAACTCCTTTGTTTTGTAAAAGGTTACAGTTTGTACATCCTATCAAGATTACACCCCACTTTCCTGATCAAGTCAATAAAAATAGGGGGATTTTTATTGTGTGCTATCAAGCATGTCCTCGTTATCTTTATCTGCATGATCCGATATACTACATACTTTATATAGGAACTGCACTAGGACTCATTCTGGCCACCCTTATGCATGTACAATTTGTTCGTTCATTCATAGAGGCGCTTCGGTCGCCCGATTCCAGGAAGAGCCTGAAGCCTGCAGCATCATGAGATATGTGACGTAGTATTCCATCCTATTTTACGTGCCCGATCTCGATAAATAATGGGACTCCGCCGAATCCATGTGACAGCTCGTGTCGAGGAAAGCATGTGATGGTGTGGAGGCGAATCATCCATTGCGGTTACATTTACCCACGTGGCTGGCTGCTTGTTTTCATTCTCCTTCCAAAATTCCGTCTCATCTACATCTACTCCGATTGACAGACCTCACATTATACAGAAAAGCAGATGATGACTCGTGACACAAAATTCCCCGCTTCGGATCCTTGAAGGTAAATATACATTTAAGTAATTTTGTTAGCCATACTAGGAATACGGTTAACTGTAAGCGATAGATGTGCAGCTTTATCGACATCATTTTATAAATAATGAAATTTCCAGGCATATCGAATATTTGCATGGTATATGTGTAAAGCCCGCATCAGTCGCTTGCTAGAAATTTCACTCTGAGCGACTAAGCTATTTGGTACGTCTATCATTCTTCTAAGACACCGGACTACTCTTCAGGATGAGCATGGGTAACGTTTTCCATTGCCTGGAGATCCCAGCCACTTGTGTCACAGTTGTCTGTTGCTGTCAGTGACACAAGATTTGGCCAACATTCCCTCAAGAAATTTAGATAATGATAATGATAATGATAATGGAAATATTGCATTGTGTATTTCGTGGGGAGAAGTCGGCTGTAAAACGCACAGCCTTGTTCACTCCCTTTCTGCGACTGTCTTTGACTTCATCCATTCATCCATCATTTCTCTTTCCTTTCATCGTCAGCTCTCTCTCTCTCTCTCTCTCTCTCAAACAAACACACACACACACACACACTTGTCCACCAGCCTTTATAACGTCACCATAGCGTGTGAGATACTTTTTAACACTACTGGATGGTCTAAAATCCCCTCATTTACACTAAGGGACCTCAAGTTTCAGGATGGAAATTTGACTGATATATGCCAGTACAGTATGACTTAAGTTTTTCCCCGAAGTCAAGATATAAACAGTATTGATTTTATATGTAAGTAGTAAGACGGCGTGACTACTGGAGTAGCACTTAAACCGCATTCACTACTTATTATCCACGATTATCTCTGTCTGCATCGAAAGATCGAAGGAGCTGTCTCAGAAGCGTTTATCACAATCATTTGAACTCCATGACTGATCGCTTTCAACCCAATAAGAAAATCACTTGGATGTTTTACGACGTGCTGCGCAGCCGCGGTCTTGATTGCAATTAACACTGGCTGAGACGGAGAAGTCTTTAAATTATAGGTCGGCAAATTGCGATCTCAGCTAGTCGTGTGTGAACGCGTCAAGTGAGTTAATTCAAACGATAGGATAGTGATGTCTGGATTTTCTAAGAAGTTTGTTTGTCGATATTTGTTAAGGCATAAGATCGAGGATTGCATGTCGCAATAGACGATCGATACATAGAAGAAAACTCAATAATCATGAGATTCAGGAGAGGTATATTTCAAATAAGGGTAAAAATATAGACTGACACTGCGATAAGACATATAAAACCGTCAGTACAAGAACGTTATTTATACAGATACAATTTAAAGATCGTACATGTACAACAGCAGTGAAAATATTAAATTAAAGTGACACTGCAGTTTTGTAAATTTTCAGTGATTGCTTATTGTTTGTAAAACTGAACGAGGAATTGTCAGGAACAAAATCAGTTTGATTATTTTTAGCAATTTTTCTGCCAGAGTGCCAATGAATGACAATAACAAGTCACACAGCAATATAAGAGCATATGACATGTTTTAAATTTAACCCAAATGTGACAGAGACAGTTAATTGATTAACATGATAAATTCTCTTTTCATGCCACGCATGTATTTCTTGGCATATTTACAACATCTGACAAGTAAACGATGGATATAATAAATAGCTACATGCAGTATATATGAAATATCGCGTGGAATGATACAAAATTATTCTGTTTCACTTAATTACATATATCGGTATTGTCATACACTGTATCTTTGCCTTTGAAAGTATCATAAATCGGCATTATGATAACAGTTTTTACCACAATACATGACTTATCAGTAAAATGCAGTAAAATATGAGTTAAGATATCACAACAGTCGACATTTTGCACTGTTACACTGAATACACTGGTCTACACAGACTAGAATTCTAAGCTTCAAAGGAGGGGCTATAAATTTCGGCTTGCAATATATCAAAATGTTTAGTTACTGATCTGGATGCTGAATTACCTCTATCGGAATTATCAGAGTTATCCGATTACGATTTGATACCTACTGTTTGAAATGAATGTGTGGGCGGTTCTATGCGGAGAGAGAGAGAGAGGGAGAGAGGTATGTCAAATACCCCGTTCACACTACGCTCAGTTATCCGGATAAATTGCGAATTAGGTCACAATTCGAATAAATGCAGTAGTGTGAACGCAAGAGGATTTTTGTAATGCGCATTTTCAAAATCCTGCAAGCGAGGTGGATTTCTAAGCGCGATCCGGATAACTTACCGGAATCGACACCTGTACAGATCTAACTGCACATGCGTGCAGATAAGTGCGGGTATCTATGAACGCTTGTTTANGATGTACGTGGACATAAAACTATCATATTGGAATCATTCCTTGTTTTTAATTTTCAGGTGAACAGAAGATATTGTGTTTTGCCGAAATTTATTTTGGTTTTCTTAATACTATTTCTTCGTTTTACTTTTGATGTCAGTATTTCACGTGTCTACTTGTGTAGGTTTAGACAAGATATTCGGAGCGTACAAGCAGGTCTTGAGATGACTATTATTACTTCGAATGCTGAAAGAACTCTAATTGTATCTTCCTTGAATAAATAGCCTGATTATATCCTTTATTTCTATAATATTTGTTTGAGTTATTTTTTCATGTTCCTTCTGTTTCTTACTAACGATTTATTCAACAATGATTTGATTTACATATCGTACGAAGATAGCTCTACGTGGCATGTGATTATAAGACCCCTATTCAGTTCTAGTCAATGAGACGATACGGAGTGCTTTGACGTTGACGTTGGAAAAAGTTTTTTTTCACTAGACAAATGTTTAAAGCATAAGACAGGGTAAAATATTGATGCAAACAAGCGAAATACGTACCCCTGCCGTACACAACTCCTTTGTTTTGTAAAAGGTTTCAGTTTGTTCATCCTATCAAGATTACATCCCACTTTCCTGATCAAATCAATAAAAATAGGGGGATTTTTATTGTGTGCTATCAAGCATGTCCTCGTTATCTTTATCGGCATGATCCGATATACTACATACTTTATATAGGAACTGCACTGGAACTCATTCTGGCCACCCTTATGCATGTACAATTTGTTCGTTCATTCATAGAGGCGCTTCGGTCGCCCGATTCCAGGAAGAGCCTGAAGCCTGCAGCATCATGAGATATGTGACGTAGTATTCCATCCTATTTTACGTGCCCGATCTCGATAAATAATGGGACTCCGCCGAATCCATGTGACAGCTCGTGTCGAGGAAAGCATGTGATGGTGTGGAGGCGAATCATCCATTGCGGTTACATTTACCCACGTGGCTTGCTTGCTTTCATTCTCCTTCCAAAATTCCGTCTCATCTACATCTACTCCGATTGACAGACCTCACATTATACAGAAAAGCAGATGATGACTCGTGACACAAAATTCCCCGCTTCGGATCCTTGAAGGTAAATATACATTTAAGTAATTTTGTTAGCCATACTAGGAATAAGGTTAACTGTAAGCGATAGATGTGCAGCTTTATCGACATCATTTTATAAATAATGAAATTTGCAGGCATATCGAATATTTGCATGGTATATGTGTAAAGCCCGCATCAGTCGCTTGCTAGAACTTTCACTCTGAGCGACTAAGCTATTTGGTACGTCTATCATTCTTCTAAGACACCGGACTACTCTTCAGGATGAGCATGGGTAACGTTTTCCATTGCCTGGAGGTCCCAGCCACTTGTGTCACATTTGTCTGTTGCTGTCAGTGACACAAGATTTGGCCAACATTCCCTCAAGAAATTTAGATAATGATAATGATAATGGAAATATTGCATTGTGTATTTCGTGGGGAGAAGTCTGCTGTAAAACTGACAGCCTTGTTCATTCCTTTTCTGCGACTGTCTTTGACTTCATCCATTCATCCATCATTTCTCTTTCCTTTCATCGTCAGCTCTCTCTCTCTCTCTCTCTCAAACACACACACACACACACACACACACACACACACACACACACTTGTCCACCAGCCTTTATAACGTCACCATAGCGTGTGAGATACTTTTTAACACTACTGGATGGTCTAAAATCCCCTCATTTACACTAAGGGACCTCAAGTTTCAGGATGGAAATTTGACTGATATATGCCAGTACAGTATGACTTAAGTTTTTCCCCGAAGTCAAGATATAAACAGTATTGATTTTATATGTAAGTAGTAAGAC